TACATATACGTGTATTTATACATATACGTGTATTTATACATATACGTATACATCAAGAGAGAATATAGAGACACAGTATATTTAGATATTTTTATGTATTACAGATTTCATACAGAATCTCTATTTTCAAGTGATTTTACTACAAGCCCCAAGATGTATATCATACTACAACTTACACTCATAAAATTGTAAACTGAGCAGGTGCATAGTTTGCTAATTGTATTTCCCTCCACAGTATCATCAAGCTGCATGATAAACCATGGGGAGCAAAGCCACTAGACAACCATCTTAAGATTAGAAACAGAAGACTGTCACCCAGATAGCAATTTTAAAGCTGTAAACAGAACAATTCACCACAAGATAGCAATCAGGAGACTGTAAACCAAATGGTACACATGAGACAAGCGAATATTGAAATACCTGCTCTTGCAAGTTACCCACAGATTTTTAAAAGAAATACACTTATCTTGCAAACCTGCTTATACCTCCTTATACTTCCAAGAGAAGTAGCATGATATACAAAATGCTACAATCCAAGTGTTTTGCCTTTTTTAGAAACAAAGAAAAACAAAGATTCCAAGTTTTAAAGACATATTCTATTAACTGCCCACTGATTCCTATAAGAGGCACATATGTACCATAAAATATCTTGAAGATAAAATCTTAATATGTCATTCCAGTTATGTTAAATATCTTCTTATGTCATCTTCTTCCATGTATTACAGGGATTTATTGATTCATCTTGCCTTTACTCACTGCAAAGCTATTCTATTTATGTGGATTTCTCACCATTACAACAACATTAAAATAATAATAAACATTGATCGAATATTTCTCATATGTCTGGCCCTATATTAAGCACTCTGTATAGATTGTCTCTTTTGATGTTCGCCACATCACTGTAAGTTGGGTGCTATCATTCCTCTTTTTGTAAGTGAGAAAAGCAAAATCTTAGAAAGGTTGAAAAGCTTGTACAAGGCACACAAAAAGTGGCATAGCTGGGCCACCTAGCCACTTGACATAAAAATACTTTATCCCTTAAACCGTACTGTATTTATCTTGTAATAGTAACAATTATGAAGCAGGTGTGGTTTCTTCATTTAAACTCAGATGTGCAATAAATGCAATTTTACTTTTTCCGTAACAAAACTTAAGTGTCTTTTCCAACTCTCAAGTTTATCCAGAAGTAGCAAACACAAACTGACCAATTAAGGATTTTTCAGAATTAATTCAAAATATACTCAACCAATTTAAGGTTTTTTCCAATTACTTTATCTCAGGGGAGACATCTAAATTCTGGGGCTTATATTAATAAAGAGTTGCATGTTGCAAGATAAATTAACCCTGAAACATCATTGGCTTATCACTTAAAGGCTGATTTCTGCTATGGGTCTGACAGCTTTCTTCCAAATGATTCTTTAGGAGACTCACCATTCTAGCTTCATCTGTGGCTCATCTATCTCAACATGTTACCTCTATGATTGCTGTAATAGAGAAAAGGATGTTGGGGGTTAGACAGGGGCTTTCACTGTCATAGCCCAGAAGTGGCATAGCACCTCTTTTCATGGACCATTGGTTAAAACTAGTCACCTGGTCCTACTCAAGTTCAAGGTAGTTTTGGGAACACATACATATATAGATACTGAATGAACATAAAGTTTTCTGACACATGGCTAATGTAGCATTATGTCAATGAAGGGAAATATCTAGTCCTTGGCCAATATAGGATGATGGCATCTTTTAGGATATACAGTGTAGTTCATATTATTGATCATGATCCTTCTTCTTACTCTGACTTACACCAAAATGTCTACATTCCTATCTGATATCCAGCTATTTGGTCTAATACATATTCCACTGTCATACATCCTGAATGTGACCATGGTTCCTGTAGTCTCCTATAGACTCCTGGACCTTTCTAGAGAATACAGTAAAATTTGCTTGCTCAGATTATTTTGAGGCTCTAGAAACTTGGTTCTGCTACCTGAGATTCCCCATGCTAACACATCTACCCTCTTACTCACAATTCAAGGGCAACTGCAATTCTGTGAAGTCACTTTTCAGGATTCCAG